TTGGTAGTAGTCAAGACCAAAATACAGACAGACATTGCTTCCTTATCTTCAGTGTTGCCTTTAACAGGCAAATGATCACAAACTGAAACATAGTGAGTCTTGCCTCGTTTTGAGATAGTGAAGGGAACTCCCCAGTATTTAAACATCACACAACCAACTATATAAATGTAAATATAAAACCAATTGTTACTAGGTTTTGAGATGGCGTTCCCCATCTGTGAAAAGCTGAATATTACTAATTAAGTCCAATCATATCTTTAGAAAGGGGAAACAGTGACAATATTTACTTAACTGGAATTACTTTTAAAAAAAAGACCGTATTTACTTAACTACAAGCCAATTTTCCTTAAATTAGGACTGTCCAACAAAAATATTCTGTCAGCCATTCATGATTTGCATTCTGGTGTTGTAAAATTAAATTATGGTACACATAAAAAGCCATGTGACATTTCTGTTTTGTAATAAATAAGGCAGTGGGTATTACTCATTGGTAGCCTTTTTGAGATAAGCTATCAAGTCTGCCCTTTCTCCCTTCTTCTTAATGCCGGCGAAGATCATTTTTGTTCCAGGGATGTACTTTTTGGGATTCTCCAAATACTCCATCAGTGTATCCTCTCCCCAGGTGATACCTAAACAGAAAGGGATGGATGGGTAAGTTTGTAATAGATCTCACACAATTTATGCTGTACCACTGATTTAGCATCAATCTCCCCTCTTACCTTTGTTCTTGTTGGCATCTGTGTAAGAAAACCCAGGGGCCTGACCTGTCTTACGCCCAAACAGACCATGGAGATTTGGCCCAGTCTTGTGCTTGCCTCCCTTTTCCACTGTGTGGCACTGGGCACACTTCTGAACAAAAATCTTCTTGCCTTTTTCAACATCACCCATCTTTAATTCTAAAAATGAAAGACCCAACAGTAATTTTTTCCTCAAGTAACAAATACAGTGTCAATCAACGATCACTCCAATTACTTTACTAACCCACTGCTAGAGAATGAATCTGGTTTTATTTAGTACAGTTGAAATACTCTTTCATACCAAAAACACCATTTAGGAGAACCTCCTTAAAAATGGATCTCTATGTGTGTATACATATAAAGTTAATGACCAAGTAAGCCAAGTTGGAACCTAGGTCAAACCTCAGTTCACAAGATGAGGTCAAGGTCAAAAGGAGTCACAAATCTGAACTGAATTGCAATTACATTAATCTCAAACACGGAAGTCCCAATGCTTACTAAACCTACTTATTTATTTTTGGCACAACTTAAAGCCACTTCTGTCTAGATAAAACAAAGCACATCAATTTAAACAAGACACCCTGTGTCCTCCTGCACAGGTCACATGTGTAACTTAAAGCACTCTAACTTGCTTTGGTGTGGCTACAGGCTCTATGAGGAAGGGAAGGGACGGGACGGGACAGGGACATTCCCACCCTCCACCTCCGCGATCCCTGGGGTGACCAACGAGGTCATCCATCCAGGCCGCTTTCAAGGAGACTAACGAAGCCCACCCTCTGGGATGCCTAGAGAAGGATTAATAGGTGACGAAGAGAAGGGTGACCCCTTAATAGAGGAGCAACAGCTTTTGCTCTCTGCAGGAGAACTGAAGCGCGGTACTCGGCCCCACAGGACGGCTTCCACCGTCCCTCAACACGGACACGGGAGAACCCGCTTCTTTGTCCGAGCGTCATCCAAGCCGCCTCCAGCCCTTGACCGAGTCGACACTACACCTCGTCAGGGTTCTGTACTTCTCAGGCCCGAGCCCATCAGGTTCTGGCTAGCCAGTCCCCGGCCCGCGCTCCCGGCCATTCCCGCCCGCGCGGGCGCCACTTGGAGATCCCAGGCGCCTGGCCCTCCCCCACCCAAGTACGCGCCTCCCCCCGTCCTGCGTCCCATGTGTTGAGGCTTCCAAGCCCCAAGCTCACCGCTCTTTTGTCGCTATCACGACGAAGGAAATGTCTCGAAAGCCGGACGCCCCGCTCTCTAGCCCAAGGACACGCCGGTCCGCACCTATGTACCGGTGTTGGTGCAACCGCACTTGCTCCGACCTTCTGCGGCATGACGTACGGCCGAGCCCGGCCGATACGCAATGACGTCACCGAATCTTATTGGCTTTGGCATCCGGGACCCGCGCTAGAGGGCTGCGCGCGCATGCCGGGTAGCAGGGTAGGGTGTACGTCGTGCGTGCCCTTCCGGTCGATGCTTCTCTTGCCCACCCCTTACGTCAGGCCCTGGGACGTTGGACGTCGAGGTGGTGCTGGGAGGGATGACATCACCCTCCGCCCTCCGTGAGCTTGCGTGTGCTGGCGTGGAGGGTGGAGCAGAAGATCTTGACGGGTTGAGGGCGTTATCTTGTTTGCTAAGGTAATCGCTTTCCGGTACAATGTTCTAAGGAGCTTTGAGGGGGTCAGACGGTCCCCACCCAGAGGAAGTCGCCGTAATTTTGACACACCTAGAGGTCTCCTGACTACCATTATGTCAGCAAGCGACCTTTACTCAGGCTTGGTCGTAACTTCCGTAGCTGGCGCCAACTGCACCCGGAGGGAGAGCCTGGCACCAGGAGTTCTGAGAGTTGGACCCGAGCTCGTGACCTTGGTCTTGTTTCACCTTTCATGTTACCTTACGTCACGTGCTTTCAGCTCTCCCCTCGATGGGCGTCCCAGGACTGGGAAAGGTGCTGCAGTGTTGGCAGAGAGGATTACAACTCTGGTCCCATACCTGCTGGCCTCTTTCCTGCTAATGTCTCATTCCTTCGTGTTTGTATGCAGAAAGGATAAGAAAGGTGTACGGGCAAGCGTTTAGGAAGAAACGTGATTAAGAAATTCTTGGAAATCTAGAGGATTTGCATCCTTTTTGGCCATACTAGAAATGTAGGTTTTATTACCACACCTTTCAGTTATACTTTCAAAACTAGCTCCCCTTCCTGACATGCTTAATTGCGAGGCACTCTTCTAGGTATCTGTAGTAAATCTGCACATTGGCATGGAGCTTACTGTTGGAGCTTACATTATAGCATTCTTCCACGCTCAACTTAAGCAATAGGTATTAGTAGGTTGACCTTAATTAACTGAGATCTCTTCCCAAATAGTGACCCTGTGATTTCTGCTCCAGACCATCCATCACCCTATATAACTGGAGTACAGTTGTTCCAGGACCCTCCCTGTCCTCCACCTTGGATACCAAAATACATGGATGCTCATAGGCCTCGAATATAAGCGCATATTCTTGCGTAAGTCTACATACATTCTCTATAAGTAGTCTTCAGATTACTTATAATATCTAGTACAATGTAAATGCTATGTAAGGGAATACTGTTGTATTGTTTAGGGAATATTGACAATAAAAAGTCTGAACACGTTTAGCATACATGCAGCCATTTAGGCCTAACTACATGATGCACTGTGAATTGAAACAGTGGATGTGGAACTCACAGATAGGGAGGTGAGACTGTATTTTTATTGTTTTGAACTGAGGCCTGACTTCAGTTCTCCTTTCTCTAGTACCACACACTGTTGCCACAGTCTTCCTATAAAAAACAGAAAGCATGACATTTATTCAAGACTTTTTGTGACTTTGAAGTGGACTAAGATACTGAGCATTTAGCAGCTAGGTAGAGTCCTTAAGTGGGCTTCTTTAGTAAAGTATCCAAATTTTTAAAAGACCTGACTTAGCAAAACCTTGCAAATTTAATGTGTCCTTAAGAAGCCAAGTCCTGATATTGCCACCCATACTCCTCCAAGGAAGATATGGTCCTTTCAATAATTGTGGCTGGGCATGGTGATGCATAGCTATAATCCCAGCCATGTGGGAGGTGTAGGTAGGAAGACTGGGGTCTGAGGTCGGCCCTGGGCAAAAACACAAGACCCAATCTGAAAAATAACTGAAGCAAAAAGGGCTGGGGACATGGTTCAAGAGTTAAGAGTATTTACCTAGTAAGTAAGAGGCCCTGAGTTCTAACCCCAGTACCGCCAAAAAAATTTAGGTAATTGTTTATTAAAATCTTTTGTGTTTCTGGTATCAGAAATTACTAGTCTTTGTTCATAAAGTAGTTAACTGATGACAAGGTTTCAAGAAGCTGATACTGCAGATCATGTAGGTATACCAGTAAATCAGATGAATGGATTGACATTTTAAATTTATTCCCATGAGGAAGAGAATAGAGAACAGACATTTCTAAGCCAGATACAATGGCTTACATGTGTAATCCCGGCTACTTGGGAGGCAGAGATTGGGAGGATGGTGATTTGAGGCAGCACAGGCAAGAAGTTAGTGAGACTCCAGCTCAATAAATAAACTGGGCATGGTGGTACAAAGCTATAATCCCAGCTATGTGGGGTACATAGGTAAGAACTGTGGTCTGAGGCCAGCCCCAACAAACATGCAAGACCCTATCTAAAAAAATAACTAAAAGAAAAGGGCTGGAGGCATGGCTGAAATGGTAGAGCACAAGGCCCTGAGTTCAAACCCCTTTATTGTAAAGGAAAAGTTCTTGAAATTAAAAGTGCTACTCCACACTGTGGTGAACACAGGGATGGTAAAGTGAAACAGCCTTATTGTTTATGGAGAAAGTTTTAGTGGTCGAGATAGCACAAAGCAGCCACAACCTTCCTTTAAGCCAAAGCCTAGACCAGAGCCAAGCCCTAGCTCTTTTCAATTCTGTGAAGATTGAGGGAGGTGAAACTGCAAGAGACACCTGAAGCTAGTAGACATCATGAGGTTTAAGGAATAAAGCTGTCTCCCTAACAATCATACAAGGCAAAGTCGCAAGTGCTGATGAAGCTGCAGCAGGTTATCCAGATGTGGCTGTGGTAATTGATTAAGTTGGCTACCCTAAGCAACAGATTTCCAGCGCAGATGAGACACTTTTCTGTTAGATGCCATCAAGGACTTTCAAAGTTAAGAGAGAAGTCAGTGCTTGGTTTCAAACGTTCAAAAGACAGGCTGAATCTCTCTTTAAGGGATAATGTAGCTGACAGCTTTAAGTTGAAGCCAATGTTCATTGGCCATTCTGAAAATCACACAGTCCTTATGAATTATACTAAATTGACACTGTGGTCTATAAGTGGAAAAACAAAGCCTGAATGACAGTACATTCTGTTTACAAGATGGTTTACCAACTATTTTAAACCCACTGTTGAGATCTGCTCAGACAAAACACATTCCTTTCAAAATACGTTTATTGACAATGCATGTGGTTTCCTAAGACCTCTGACGGAGATGTACAAGTGAGGTCAGTGTTTTGATGCCTGCTTACACAGCATCCATTCTCCAGCCCATGGATAAAGGAGTCATTTCAACTTTAAGTCTTACCATTTAACAATACATTTTGTAAGGTGACATCTGTTGTAGACAGCAATTCCTCTCATGGATCTAGGCAAAGGAAATTGAAAATCTTCTGGAAAATATCCACCATTCTATATGTCATTAAGGACATTCATGATTCATGGGATATAAAATAGTGATATTAACAGGAGTTTGGAAGAGGTTGAGTCCACCCTTCATGGATGACTTTCTGGGGTTAAAGACTTCAGTGGATGAAATAATCACAGATGTAGGTAAAAGTAGCACAAGAACTAAAATTAGAGGTGGAGCTCGAAGATGCAACTGAATTATTGTTATGTCATGATAAAACTTGTTTCTTTAGATGGAATCCACTGGTGAAGATGCTGTGAACATAATTGATATGACATCAAAAGATTGAGACTAGTATATTTATTTGGTGAAGCAATGGCAGGGTTTGAGAGGATTGACTCTGATTTTGAAAGAAGTTCTACTGTGAGTACAATGTTATCAAACAACATTGCATGCTACAGAGAAGTCCTTCATGAAAGGAAGTCAATTAGTGCAGCAGACTTCACTGTTGGTTTAAGAAATTGTCACAGCCACCCCACCTTAAGTAACCACCACCTTGACCCGTCAGTAGTCATCAGCACTGTGGTAAGACGTTCTGCCAGCAAAAAGATTGTAATTGTGAAGGCTCAGATGATTATTATTCATATATTATTTTTAATTAAGGAATTTACATTGTTTTTAAAGGCATATTGCTATTGCACTGGTAGACTACAGTATGGTGTAAATACAGCTTTTTATGCATTGGGAAACCAAAAAAAATGTGTGGATTGCTTTATTACGATATTCATTTTGTTGTGGTGGTCTGGAACCAAACCTGCAATATTTCCATGGTATATCTATTTAAGACAAATACTTTAAAATGGGATTTTTACAAACTCAAATGTTTGCTCTTTTAAGAGATATATGTAAGAATAAGTTTGAAAGTAAAAGAATGGCTTAGTAGATAAAACATCTGGTCAGAAAGGGAAAAAGCAATAAAAATCCATAAGAAAGCCTGGTGCTGGTGTCATGTCTGTAATCCTAGCTACTAAGGAGGCAAAGATCACGAGGATTGAGGTTTGAAGCCAGCCTGGGAAAATAGTTTGTGAGACTGTATCTTGGAAAAAACCCTCCACAAAAAAGGGTCAACACCTTCATGCAGTGGCTCAAGGTGTAGACCCTGAGTTCAAGTCCTAGTGCTGCAAAAAAAAAAATCCATTAAGGAAAATAAAAGAGGGGAATGTGAAAAGTCTCATAAACAATGAAAAGATAAGGAAGGTGCATTATTACCCCTCAAATCCATAGGCAACAAAAGCAAAAATGAACAAATGGGATTATACAAAACTAGGAAGTTTATGCACAGCAAAGGAAACAACAGAGAGAAGAGACAATCCACAGAATGGGAGAAAGTATTTGCAAAGGATACATCTGATAAGGGGTTAATATCCAAAATTTGTAAGGAACTCAACTTAGTAGCAAGAACATAACTTGGTTTAAAAAAGGGGCAAAGGAACTAAATATTTCTCAAAAGAAAACACATATCAGGCATGTATATGAAAAAATTCTCATCACTATTGTCAGGGAAATGCAAATTGAAAACTCAAGTAGATGCCACCTCCCATCTCTTAGAATGGCTATTATCAAAACAGTGGAAGATAATAAGCTTGTCAAGGATGTGGACAAACTCACCATGTTGGTGAGAGTGTAAACTGATACAGCCATTATGGAAAGCAGTAGGGAGGTTCCTCACAAAATTCAAAATACGATTCAGCAATTCAAAAGGAACTGAAACCTGCATATGTATGAGATGCCAAATTCCTGTGTTCATTGCAGCATTATTCATCATAGCCAAGATACAGAATCAACTTAAGTGCCATAAACATGCATGGATAAAGAAAATGTGGTATATACACACAATGGAATACTATTTGGCCATGCAGGAATGAAATCCTGTTATTTGCATCAATGTAGATGAACCTGGAGGTGTTACATGTTAAGTGAAGTAAGTCAGACACAGAAAGACAAACTCTACATGACCTCTCGTGGAATCCAACAAAGTTGAACTCAAAGAAGTAGAGAACAGAATGGTGATTGTGAGGGTTAAGGTGATATTGGTCAAAGGATTCAAAATTTTAGTGAGAAGGAATACATTCAAGAGATTATTGGGCTAGAGAAGTGGCTAAATGGTACAGTACCTGCCTAGCAAGTGGAGGCAGTCCAATCCTGGGTATACCACCAAAAAAAAAAAAAAAATCTATTCAACAACATGCTGATTGTAGTTAATAACAAACTATTATATTCTTTTTTTCAAGTGCTGTGGATCAAACCCAGGGCCTACCTAGCACATGTTAGGCAAGTACTCCACTATTGAGTTATATCCTTAGCCCTTGGTTTTTTGAGACAGGGTCTCACTATGTTACCATTGCATTTTTCGTCTTCAAAGGTGACATTAACACCTGTATCTCCTCTTTACTCCCATTCTGACTCTTGAATTTCTTTTATTTGGGAGCAGGAGTTCAAGATCCTTCCACTAGGCCCTATCTTACTTCATGGGTTAGAAAGCCAATCCAGGGATTCTTCCAACTGCTAAGTTTATTCCAACCACACTCAACAACTGGGGAAATAACCACAGTGTGCCTGTGGTCCTATTGGCTCCACCAAGAGGCATACTTGGGTAAAATCCTCAAAACCTCCTCTGAGGGGTGGATCACCGTGGTCTTCTTAATGCTCATCAGAGTTAAGAATAGGACTGGCTTTCTCTTGAGAGTGTTGAAGAGGATAACTGTGATGTCTGAAGAAATGCTGCACCACTCCTGCGTGGTGGTGGGTGAACAGTTAGAATGTAATTCTGCATCCCTGCAACCCAAGGAAAAATGTGTGACTAAAACCCCAAGCTCCTATACTAGAGTTGTATCTTCTAAAGTTTGTTCTTTGGAACTCAGGTTCAATGATATGTTCTATGATAAAAGGGTCAAATTAGTTTAAGAAATGCATATCCCACATCCCCCATCGCTTGGACATTACTAAGTCTACTACATATTTTTGTTGATATTTTGGGGGTGTTGGGGATCAAACCCAGGACTTTTGTGCATGCTAGGCAAAGGGCTGAGATATACCCTTTGCCCTGTTATTACATGTTAAAGGAATTAAGTCATATGATTGACTTTGTTACCTTTCATTTTCTTCAATATTATTTCACCATGTAAATTTTTGTCCCCCAATATCTTATATAACTAGTGCTGTAAATACAGTTTGGAAAAAAAAAAAAATATATATATATATAAAATTTTTTTTTTTTTTTTTTGCAGTACTGGGGTTTGAACTCAGGGCTTCCCACTTGCTAGGCATGTGCTCTACCACGTGAGCCACTCTGCCAGCCCCCAATACTTAAATTTGTCATGAGTTTTCTATGATAAACTATGTTAAAAATGTACCTCTTGATACATGAAATGCATTGACTAACATAGGGAAGTTATCTAAATTCTTGGTGAACACTTTCCAAGTATGATGATGTTGGCCTCCAGGAATCACCAGTTAACTAATTAAAGCCATTGCCAGATCTTCACAATAAAATAATTTTGTCTGCAAAGTAAAATTTTCTCTATCTGAAGACTAAAGACAAGGCGACATTTCACCTGTAAAGTGTACATGCAGAGCATTTTGGATTTCATCATTTCCATTAACTTGTTTGTCCACATGCTTATATAAAATACAGTGGTAAGTGTGTAAAGCGACCAATCCCTCAATTAACTGGGGATTTGAGTTTTACTTTTTTTGCCTAATGTTATTTTCTGCAGTTACATAAAGGGACAGCGTTCACATTTATTTTATTAAGGTACTATAGATTGTGTAGACATCTGTCCATTGAGTTTTTCTCAGCTCTTCATTTCTTATAAAATGATGTAAGATTTGTTGCACCCATTGATTTTCATGATTTTGAAGAACTTTATAGAATGTAATTTGAAGATGAGACTATAGACTATAAATACTTCTGGTTCTAATATTTTATTGACAAGTTTTTAAAGTTTTCTAGAAGTTGGAAGCACACCTTTGTCTGGGTTCCTCTGACCAGATCCTAACTTAAATTCCTGAAAACATAAACCTCATTAGCAAGATTATTATGGCTTAATCTAGAAATGGAATCCAGCAAAATGAAGGAAATTCTGTTATATTTTTTTCTTTTTTTGTAATTGGCTGGGTTTTAAAGGGAAGAAGAAATATTTCAATTATAGAAATAATAGGAATTATGGCCATAGAATTGATGTTTCATTCCTGAATGCACTTTATCCCTGAGGTCTTTGTGGTCTTCCAGAACTGAATTATGGAAACGATTTTGCGCATTAGTTTTTGAAAAAGAGTTCTTAAGATCCAGCAAGTTGGTATGAGGCTTGGCCACTCCTGCTCTAGGAATCCAATCCACAATAGGTCTTGTTTCTTCGTTGTTTTCCAAGTTCAAGTTCAACTTTTCTTCTGGCTTACTTAAAAAATGTTCTAAAGTGAAAGCATCAATATGTGGTTTATTTTGTAAAATACTAGACTTATTAAGGCTAATAGAGTTTTGACATGTAGCATATGGATCACGTATGGAAGATTTAAAATGTTCATAGTGAATGTAGTGGTTTGATTTACAGTAAGGTGAGGGTGGGGGTTTTAATAACAGCTGTCTCCAGTACAAATCATCTGTCTTTTTAGTATCTGTGATTTTTGGAAGTGATTTTATGTCATAAACAGTATTCAGATCTTTGGATGAGTCACAAGATGGGAGCGCATAAGTAGACAACAGGTCTTGTTCTTTAATCTTCTCTTCGATATTTTGATTTTTATGAGTCATGCCAGACAGTGTGTTATCTTTTAGTGCCATCATTTCTGTAGAACTGGGTATGAAGGTATGAAAAGTACATAAAACTCTAGGAGTACAATCTGGGCAGGAAGCTGTTCCTTGCTGGACAATAGCCTCTAGAGGACGTCGGTTCTGAATAAGTCGGGCAATTCGCCCTTCCAAGGGTCGGGAGGGTTTTAAGACAGGATGGAATTTTTCTTGCTATAATGATGGAATAAAAATGAGAAAATAAAAATGGCATTGTAAGGATATTGCCATGAACAGTAGGTCAATAGTCACACTCATTTTTACTGTCTCACTAAACATGAGATGGGTGGAGGAGTGCACATTTGCAAAGTTCTTTGATATTTATTTAAAGACTTTGAAATTTGGGCCCAAATAAACACATTTTTCTCCTTTACTGGTTTTAAATGATATGGAAAGGGCATATTTTTTATTTGGCTATAGAGAAACACTTCTATGTGAGAACTCGTGCTTTCAAATTTTCAAAGACATACAGGAATCACTGGAATAAAACATATAGCCATCACCAACAGATGGTACTAGATGTTATGTGTAGTTATTTAAGTCTCAGCCAATTGTATTAGATCAGGCAAGGGTCTTAAACCTTGGATGAATCAGAATGACTTTTTGAGCTGGCAGAAAGTGAAATTCCTAAACTTAGTTGTCTAAAATTGTGAGTCAGAAGGTCTGCAGTAAGGCCAGGAACCTGAATTTTTTTTTGAGGGGAGATAGGCAGGGTGCTGGGGAATAAACCCAGGGCTTCATGCATGCTGAGCATGCACTCTACTACTTAGCTGTACTTCACAACCAGGGATCTGGATTTTAACAAGCATTTCAGGTACCGTTAAGGCTGATGACATGCTATGCTTTCAGAAGCACTGGTCTGAGGTATTACGTGCTTGCTTATATTTTTATTTATTTATGCTGAGGGTTGAACCCCGGACCTTATGCATGCTAATGTATGTACTCTACCATTAAGCTACACCTCCATCCATCTATGCTTCTTCTTGAGATATTGTATAACTATTATAAACTCAACCATGTGTGGAAATTGCAAAAATTAGCAAGTATATTCAGAGTGCTATTAATAGAGATATGTCTGGTTGGAGGAGGAGGGAAGAATTGACTTGGAAGGGCATGAGGGAACTTTCTGGAATGATAATAGTATTCTGTATCATCATGGGGTATGAGTTACAAAAGTATATGCACTGGTCAAATTCAGTGAAAATACACTTAAGATTTGTGCAATTTCAATGAATGTGTATTTTACCTTAAAAGAAACAAAATGCAAACAAATTTTGAAGTTTGGCTAGTGATTTGCAAATGTGTAGTGATGAGTATATGAATGTCTATGATCTAGTCTAAAATTTATAAAAAAATATTGATGGATGGTTAGAGGGAAGGAACGATGGATAGACTATGATAGAATTAGCATAATAAAGTATTAAAGGAACAATCTACATAGTGAGTATATTGGTGTTGACTGTAAAATTCCTAAACTTTTCTGTATGTTTGAAAATTTTTATAAAGTGTTTGAGAGAAAACTTAAAGACAATATATGTATGATGAAGATGGAATTGACAGAAGATAATAAAAATGAGAGTGATGAGAAAATAACAGTATCTTAGACTTAATAGGATCATTCTTTTAGAACTTAATCTGTTCATACTTAGAGGAATTTCCATATTGAGTCATTAACAAATTGCTGTATCCTTTAGCTGAAAGTTTGAGTAAATATATGGAAAAAAAAGAAAAACCCCTGTTCTGTGACATGCTTTGTTACATTTGTCAGTAAATAAAAAAGATGAAGTTTATCATAGCAGATTTTAATAGTATTCCCTTATACAAGAAGCAGCTTTTAGTGTTTTATTTTATTCTATACATACAAAAATTTTTCATACCTATTTTTAGTCATCACTAAAACATGCTTTCCCAGCATCTGTTGTTTGTGTGGTACACACTCAACAAGTGTCAAAGTGTGTATATAATCTTTTCTAATGATGGAGTGTCCATTGCAAGTGAAAACTCAAAACAAATGAAAAACTCTTAAGCAAATAGTAAAGTGAAGTCTAAGGATCCATTAATGTGATTTTACATCACATAAGGAAATGCTGAAGCTAATGTAAAATGAATGTGCTCAGCTTATTCTAAACAGAGTTAATACTGAAATAATCTTACAGTTGTCTTTTATGTGTCTTTCCGCAGCTTATATCTTTGAAAATATTTTGTTTTCAAAGTTCATAGTTGTAGAGGATAAAAGTCTCTCATAAAACATTATATGCATACTGTTAGGTCATTTAATTTCATTTACATAATTAAGCGAATAGATTATAGCTTTTGTTACTAAAGGGCTCCATCATTTCTTTCAGGCCATTTCATATAATCAGTTAAGAAGTCTCTATTGATACAGGCAGAGAATTTATTGGCTTTTGATTATAATTCAGCCAACTCTCAATTATTATGAGTATCAGGAAGAAGTCTTTACCACTTCAAAAGCAATGGAAATCTCGAAGATATACAAAGACTCAGGATTTATTAAGAACCTCAAATTACTAGATAAGCTCTATTCTTTTATAAACCAATTTCTCTGTAACTTATTTTAATAATATTGTCACAGTAGAAAATATGTTTAAAAATAGAATTGTGAAGAAAAGAAATTTTGTTTTTCCATATCGTGGCCAAGGGTATTCAAACCAGTTCCAATCAATTCATAAATAACTTCTAAAATAACTTAGATATTCTTTGTTAGGTTGGCTCCCACTACTCATGACACAAAAAGTGGGCAAAGCAAGAAGGAGCCCAACACCTGGATATTCTCCCCTTAAATAAATGAGAGTTGACTGCAGTTACTTACAGGCTGTGGGTCAAATCCTATCTGTCCAGTTAGCTCTGCTATCTCCTTTTCATGGTAATCATCCAGTTCAAGAGGGTTCATGGGCCCCAGACCTTAATGGAAACACTGTCTTATTATTTTGGTAAAGTAAATAAAAATGAGAATTAAATTACCCTTTAGAGGAAAACTTACCCATTCCCTTTGTAATACAATTAGAACTAATAAAATGAAAATAACTTCTCAACTATCCATTAAGAGATGGATAGCTCTATTAGTACTTAGATTGAGAAATGGGAAAACGTTAGAAGTTGAAAACTTGTGATGGTATTCATTAAATACTCCAATTTTGTTCTAATTTTTACTTGTATTAACACGAACTCATACCTGTAAAATCATGAGTATATGAAGTGATCCAGTGGGACTTCTCAAGATTTCTTTGTATGTTGGCTTCTTTTACAGAGTTAAGAGAATCCCATGAATTTAAAGAAGTGTTTGGAACATAGGTCTTAGGAGGTTTTGGGTAGAATATTGGCTTATTTTTCTCAGCACATTTAGGAAACTAGAATATAAACATAAAGATTATTGCTGTTGAGGTCATCTAGTAGAATAAGGGCTGATTCACTGTCCCAGCAAGAGAAGGATAAAGGAAATACTAAGATGAAGTAAGACATTTTTCTTCTTCATCAATTACTAATATTCAAAGCAGGCTGTAACTATAACCATACTTAGAATTAAACACAATAGTTCCTCAAAGAAATGGTAAAATCTTTTCTAAATGTCTCTGATAACATACTGGAGAACTGTCCCTGAATACTCTACCTATAGTGAAATTTTATTAGAGATACAATTTTTTTTTTTTTTTTGGTACTGAGGTTTGACCCAGGGCCTCACACTTGCTAGGCAGGTCCTCTACCACTTGAGGCACTCTGCCAGCCCTTTTTTGTGTTTGTTATTTTTAAGTTAGGATCTGGTGAACTACTTGGCCAGGATGGCTTTGAACCAAGAGCCTCCTGATCTCTGCCTCCTGAATAGCTAGGATTACAGATCTTAGCCACCAGCACCTAGCCTAGAAATACCTTTCCTGCCCTCCCTGAAATGAAACCCTATGATGTCGTTCATGAATTTCTGATGAAGCTGAAGTCACTCAAACACAATTTTCATTCTTCAAATATAACTATTTTGTAATAGAATGCATGTAAACATGAAGAATGAGTTTCATTGCAGTCTTTTAGTTACCTAACAATTCACTTTTTCTGAGACTGATGATAGTAAATATTTCCTGAGCAACTATATGTATGCACCAATGGTAGGAAATAAGGATGGATCAGAAACAGATTCTGGGGAGGGTTTGGCGGGGGAGAGGTGGTGCAAACAATGTATTCACATGTGAGTAAATGTAAGAACAATAAAATAAAGTTAAAAAAAAAAAAGAAAGAAACAGATTCTACCATCCAGGAGCATCCTGGCTTGTAGAGGAGAGATGGTATGAACATAAATGACTATAAAAGAGGTTAAGACAAAATTGTTTGGAAGTTCACAGGAGGGAGAGATTGATTCCAACTAAATGGAGAAGTAGGGCTGGGAGTGGAGCAAGAAGAAAGAAGAGTCCATGTTATGTCATACCACAGGAACTGGGCCTTATATGGTAATACAGAGAGGTGGAGAATAAAGAACAGTAGAAGCAGATGCATGGATACTAACACATCTTGAATATTGTGCTACTTGTACTCACAGCCATGCCTACCCTTAACATCTTCAGAGCCTAGTCTAAAGTACAAATGGAAGCCTATATTCCATTTGTCTAATTAGTATAATTTAAATCAAACAAACTGACAAAATATGTTCTATTTTTCTACTTTGACACAAAACCTTTGTAACAACCTGGAAAGTCAGGTTCAAGTTTAGACTTCTTTGGCCACTATGAGTTCTGCTCTCAGAAAGAGCCAGCTGCTGCCCCTGGCCTCAGTTCCCCTTATTGCTCTCATCTATCTGCTCTAAACTCTCATCACCCCATTTCCAACCAACAGCATCCATGGCCATCTTTATGGCCTGCTACAGACTTGGCAACACCGTTAACCCTAGGGAGAATAGACCTGAGGAAGGGTCCCTAGGATGCCCAAAGACTGTGTTCAAAGCCATTTGGATAGAGAATTCTGTGGTCCAAGATCATGGTAATGTGGAGTGGGAAACAGGCGCTCCATATGGATAGATCCTTTTGACCCATAAAGTTCCTGCTTCACAGGGAGGGGTACCTCAAGAGTAGGGCCAGAGAAGGGCCCTCTAAAATTCCTAGGCCTAAAGGTGATACCCACTTTACATAAGTAGTATACTCATGGTAAAGGGCATTTGGAAATCTGTCTCAACAAGTATTAAATAGCTACCCTCTACACATTAACAAATATATGGGTTGCTTATTCAGGGGTAAAGAAAGCCTTCTTTGTTCCCCTATCTCTTTCATTATTTGAAGAGTCAGCTTACTTGAAATAAGGATTTTTTTCAAATACTGTTATAATGGGTTGGATTAATCTTGCACCTTACACTGGTCACCTACTGAAATGCAGTCTAGGGCACAGGAAAAAAAAATGGAAATGTGAAATTTAGTGTAGCCTACACTGTCTTGAGAAGGGAAACATTTAAGAGCCAGGAAACATTTGAGAGTGGGGAGCTGGTCAATTTTTAGTATGTTATGGTGATGTTATTCTTAGAGGCTAGTGAGAAAGGAGCTGGTGGCAATCATCCACATAGTAGGTGTTTACTGGTGAAGTATACTATGACCAGGGTGAGTCTGTGTCTCACATAGATGGTAAGTACAAGGCAAGAAGGAAGTCTAGTTCCTGACATGTTAGTTTCTGGTGGTACTCCAGTCTGTAAAGGAGTGATGTTAATTGTTTTCAATTTGGAATACATTCATAGAGGAACAGTGTTATATAAGTTGTGGTTACGTTTCCAGCATAGCCCATGGAAGCTCAATATTAATACATGTAGTTCAATATTAATAAACACTGCATGCAAAACTATATGCAAAGTTCTGAGGGCTCTGTGCTAAGCATAGATCACCACAAATCACTAAAATATCAGAAAAATCATACAGCTGTCATGTATTAAATGAAATTTAAGAATAATTATTTTTGTTTTGTTTTAGTCTTGAATGATGGGGTTTACCCAGTTTAACAGGAGAGCAAAAAGGCTCATTCTGGAGACCATATTGCCCTTTGGAGAGAATTTAGCATTTGGACACTAGTTCTTTGTTGTATCCCATTTCACTTATAATTATATTGTATTAGCACCATTTTTACACTAAGAAGTTATGATTAGCAACTTTGTTCATTTACATATGGAATGAAGAGAAAGACAGAGGGAGAAGAGACTGGCATCAATTTAGGATGTAGGAAGAAAGGGCTGAGGGAGTAGAGTATGCAGGATTGGGAAGATCACTGCCTGAGATGGAGTGAGGGAAATGAGGGTGTGAGATGGGAGATGGGGAGCATGGGTGGTGGGAAAAGTGAGTGTGCCTGTATGTTTTCCATTTGGATACCCTGGGGGGTCACTGGGATTGAGCAGCAGGAGAGGTGGCAGCAATGGAGAGGTTCACTGTGAGTATCCACTTATTTGATGACACTTTTTCTAAGGAGGTGCTCACATGCTCACCAAATTCATTATGGCCATTTGAGGATAAGTTTGGTTTAAGAATGCTGTCATGGAGAGATAACTCATTCTCAGGAATGAGGATGCTAGGAATGATGAATGTTTTAGACAGGAACAATGGCTCAACTCCTTTGTAGGGTAATAGAAGTGAGCTATCTTTCAAAGAGAGGCCAAGGATCTATCCAGATATTTAGGTTTAAGGAAAAATAGGTTGTAATGAACTTTGTGTTAATAAATAGGCTCAGCTAGGCTTTGAAAAATTTTTTTTAAAGCATTTAAAATAGTCTAAGGTTAGGGAAGTTTATTGTACCTGCCTCTAGGATTACATCTTATCTTACTGAAAAGATGATTAAGGTAGATTTCATCCTAAAGATTATTTTCATATCACAAAAGCTAAGACCAATACCCCTGTTCTTGAGAAATAGAGTGAAAGTCTTCATCTACTTCAGCAAATAATGATATAAATAGCCCAGAAGAGTCAAATATTAAAACCTATTTTTGTTTGCCAAAAATAAAAGGAAAAGGAATGTATGATTGGCTGGTAATGATTCAGATGGTCAGTGAGAAAAGATCTCACTGAAGAGAGTGGTAGTCAGAGAATGGCATCTATATAAAGTAGATGTGGTAGAAAGTTGAGGACAGTGGTCTGTATGGAGTGTAGTGGAGAAAAATGGGCCAGGCCAAAAACAAAACCAAAGGGCAGCCCTGGCTCTGGGTGGGAAAGAGGTACCTAGAGCTCTGTGAATCTTGAAGGTACAGGCTTCATACATGTGAAAGCATAAGGGCAAAATGACAAAATAGTCTGTTAAAATTAAACCCCAGCACTTAAATCTTAAAAGGTTAAATGCTCTTATTTGGAATAGTCTACTTTCCAAAATTATCCATTTTTAAATGATGCTGGATAAACAGGATATTATTATTATGTTTTTTTCTTTTATTATTCATATGTGCATACAAGGCTTGGTTCATTTCTCCCCCCTGCCCCACCCCCTCCCTTACCACCCACTCCCCCCTCCCTCTCCCCCACCCCTCAATACCCAGCAGAAACTATTTTGCCCTTATTTCTAATTTTGTTGTAGAGAGAGTATAAGCAATAACAGGAAGGGACAAGGGTTTTTGCTGGTTGAGATAAGGATAGCTATACAGGGTATTGACTCACATTGATTTCCTGTGCGTGGGTGTTACCTTCTAGGTTAATTCTTTTTGATCTAACCTTTTCTCTAGTACCTGTTCCCCTTTTCCTATTGGCCTCAGTTGCATTTAAGGTATCTGCTTTAGTTTCTCTGCGTTAAGGGCAACAAATGCTAGCTAATTTTTTAGGTTTCTTACCTATCCTCACCCCTTCCTTGTGTGCTCTCGCTTTTATCATGTGCTCATAGTCTAATCCCATTGTTGTGTTTGCCCTTGATCTAATGTCCACATATGAGGGAGAACATACGATTTTTGGTCTTTTGGGCCAGGCTAACCTCACTCAGAATGATGTTCTCCAATTCCATCCATTTACCAGCGAATGATAACATTTCATTCTTCTTCATGGCTGCATAAAATTCCATTGTGTATAGATACCACATTTTCTTAATCCAGTTGTCAGTGGTGGGACATCTTGGCTGTTTCCATAACTTGGCTATTGTGAATAGTGCCGCAATAAACATGGGTGTGCAGGTGCCTCTGGAGTAACCTGTGTCACAGTCTTTTGGGTATATCCCCAAGAGTGGTATTACTGGATCAAATGGTAGATCGATGTCTAGCTTTTTAAGTAGCCTCCAAATTTTTTTCCAGAGTGGTTGTACTAGTCTATATCCCCACCAACAGTGTAAGAGGGTTTCTTTTTCCCCGCATCCTCGCCAACACCTGTTGGTGGTGGTTCAACAGGATATTATAAATCACTAGAGTAATAATGCTGCAGCAACTAAT